TACGGTCGGAACCGAATCGGTCAACCCGAACCGAAATGGTAATCCGCAGCCGGCCCCAACAGCCATACCCAACCTGTTGGAACCGAACCAGCCGCCCCAAGACCCTCGACCCCGCACGACACCGCAGGAAACCCTGAGACGCCCCCAGGGCCCCCTGGGACCATGGGCGCGCACGAACGACGCAAGCTGGCCGAAACGACACCGGAACCGAAGCCGATCGAAACCGAAAGGACCCGCGCACAACCGAAACATTCGACCGAAACCGACCGAACGCGAAACGACGAACGACCGAAGCAACGCCGAAGCCAGATACGAAACCGAAGCTACGCTGAAAATGAAGGGCCGGCGTGATCATTTTGGAGTGCGCACGTGCCTTCCGCGGTTCCGAAATGCTCTCGCGGCCGACTCAAGCCCCCAGAATTCTCGGGGCAGCTCCGAGGACCCCCTGTTGCCTCCCCCGTGGCCCGCGGGCCCCTGGAGCCCGAATGAAACAAGCTTAACACAGCCCAATCATGCGATTTTGGCACACCCGCTCCGCCCAGAGACCCCCCCGCCACGCCGGCCACTGGGGGGGCCAGAGAAACGCCAGCCCGACGAAAGACCCGACCACGCGCAGCCACGAGCACCGCGAGCGAGATGAGACGGAGGAGGGGGGCGCGCAAAATTCAAATAGCAACCGCAGACAGCGCGCCGCAGGACAGACGAAACGCGGGGCGGCGCGGGCAGGGGCGGGGGGGAAGGGCAGGGGCAAGCACCAGAGCGGGACGGCCGGCTTTCTAACGCCACCCCATGCGCGTATTCACGACCTGACAAGCGCGGCCCCTGGCAGAGCGCAGCGCGGAGCCCCCGCGTCGCGCGCCAGCTGCCCCGCAGGGGCCCAAGCGGCGCGCGGGCCATCCGCCGCGCGGAACAAAGAAAGCTAGCCGGCTGGCCGACTGCGGGCCAAGCGCTGGCCGCCAGGCAGAGCGACGACAGGCGAGCGAGGCGCGGCGCGGAGCGCGGCGCGGAGCGCGGCGCGGAGCGCGGCGCGGCGCCCCCGCGACGCGCGCCAATCGCCCCGAAAGAGCCCCAGCGACGCGCGCAGGTCGCCCCAGGCTGGCCGCAACGCGATCGAGCGGCGGCTAGGCGCGCTGCAGCGGCGTCCGCAGCGCAACGGAAAGAAAAGTTCGGCGGGCTGGCCGAGCGCCCCTCAAGTCAGGCCTCGCAGATAAACTCGGTGAGGCCCAGCTCCCTGGCGAGGGCCGCCGCCCCCCTCCCGCGGCGCTCCGCGCGCGCCGCAAACTGTTCCAGCTGCTTCCGCAAGCCTTCCGGCGGCCCCACGACGAAGGACTCGACGCGCGGCGCCCTCGCGAGCAGGAGGTCCTCGCGGCGCGTGGCGCGCGGCACACGAGAGCAGCGCGTAGAGCTCCAGCCGCCCGTCCTCGCCCTCCTCCTTCCCGTTCCCGACCTCGCGGCAGCCGCCGTCCAGGATCACGCCTGGGCGACGTCGGCCAAGGGGGCGGCGCGCCTGGCAGCCCGCCGCCCAGGGCGAATCCACATTACCGAGGAGGCGCTGAATGTAGACTGGTGGCGCCCAGGCGGCGCGGCCGCAGACTGCCCGTGAGCGCCGTTCCCTCGCCCGGTCGCCTGCTCGCATGGTGCGTAGCGATAATAAAAATAGATATTGTTGTTCTAGCCGTTCTAGTTTAGTAGTAGTAGTAGTAATAGTAGTAGTAGTAGTAGTAGTAGTCGTCGTCGTCGTCGTCGTCGTCGTCGTCGTCGTCGTCGTCGTCGTCGTCGTCGTCGTCGTCGTCGTCGTCGTCGTCGTCGTCGTCGTCGTCGTCGTCGTCGTCGTCGTCGTCGTCGTCGTCGTCGTCGTCGTCGTCGTCGTCGTCGTCGTCGTCGTCGTTCGTCGTCGCGTCGTAGAGTAGTTTAGTAGATTTAAACAAAAAAAAACAAAAATTTTACTCCCCCAAAATAAAAAAAAAAACCCCCCTAGTAGTAGTAGTGGTAGTAGCAGTATAGTGCAGTAGTAGCAGTAGTAGCAGTGTAGTATTAGCAGAAGGTAGTAGTAGTAGTAGTAGTTGTAGTAGTATAGTAGTAGTAGTAGTAGTAGTATAGTGTAGTAGCAGTAGCGGTAGTAGTAGTAGTAGTAGTAGTAGTAGTAGTAGTAGTAGTAGAGTAGTACTAGTAGTAGTAGTAGTAGTAGTAGTAGTAGTAGTAGTAGTAGTAGTAGTAGTAGTAGTAGTAGTTGTTGTTAGTAGTTAGTAGTTAGTAGTTAGTAGTTAGGAGTTAGTAGTTAGTAGTTAGTAGTTAGTAGTTAGTAGTTAGTAGTAGTAGTAGTAGTAGTAGTAGTAGTAGTAGTAGTAGTAGTAGTAGTAGTAGTAGTTAGTAGTAGTTAGTAGTAGTAGTAGTAGTAGTAGTAGTAGTAGTAGTAGTAGTAGTAGTAGTAGTAGTAGTAGTAGTTAGTGGTAGTAGTAGTAGTAGTAGTAGTAGTAGTAGTAGTAGTAGTAGTAGTAGTAGTAGTAGTAGTAGTAGTAGTAGTAGTAGTAGTAGTAGGAGTAGGAGTCGGAGTAGGAGTAGGAGTAGGAGTAGGAGTAGGAGTCAAGCTAGCCAGCTCGAGCGAGCCAAGCATGGCATGCCCAGTCCCACCCGCCCTCCCACAACATAAGAAGCAAAGCTGGCACAACTGGGGGCCGAAGTCACACCGGCCAGCCGGTTTGGTACAGCTGATGCGGCCGCGATGGCGGTTGCCGACGGGAACTGGCGAGCGCGTGTTGAATGCCGCGCACGCATTGCCAGACGAGTCGAGAATGGCCCGGTACACCGCAGGAAGCCAGAGGTGGCCGGAGGAAGCCCGACGGTCTGACAGGACACCCCAAAGCATTTTTGTGAAAAAGCATTGGGTTTTTGATGTTTTTATGTTGAAATGCTTGCAAACACACGGTGTTCGGTAGGATTCTGACATGAACGCGCGAGTGTGCTCTTTGTGGTATTTTTTGCACAGGATTCGCGGCCTGGGTGCATGACAGAGCATCGCGAGTGCACCGCGCGATGACGTGAAATCGCTGGATTTGACAGAATTCTTAAGATTCCTATGGTTTTCCTATGATTTCAGCAAGAGAGCCAGGGCAGGAAATTTGTAGATTTTTTGTGAAAAAGCATTGGGTTTTGATGTTTTTATGTTGAAATGCTTGCAAACACAAGGTGTTCGGTAGGATTCTGACATGAACGCGCGCGTGTGCTCTTTGTGGTATTTTTTGCAATGGATTATCGCCGTGGACGACAGGACGTCCATGTCGAGAGGAAAAAATAAGAAAAATGTTGATTTTGTATTGTTTTTTACAGGTTAGGATGGGACCACCCGGATGCGGCCCCTATCTGCCGGCCTGAGGGGGGAGTAGGAGTATATTCTAATAAGGAATAAGGATAGGAGTAGTAGTAGTAGTAGTAGTAGTAGTAAGTAGTAGTAGTAGTAGTAGTAGTAGTAGTAGTAGTAGGAGTAGGAGTAGTAGTAGTAGTAGTAGTAGTAGTAATAGTAGTAGTAGTAGTAGTAGTAGTATTTAGTAGTAGTAGTAGTAGTAGTAGTAGTAGTAGTAGTAGTAGTAGTAGTCGTAGTCGTAGTAGTAGTAGTAGTAGTAAGCATAATCGTAGTACTGAGAGTAGTAGTAATAGTATTAGTACGAGTACTAGTATTAGTGGTCGTAGTGGTGGTAGTAGTAGTAGTAGTAGCAGTAGCAGTAGTAGTAGTAGTAGTAGTAGTAGTAGTAGTAGTAGGACTAGGAGTCGGAGTAGGCATAGTAGTTGTAGAAATAGTAGCAGTTGTTGTTGTAGTAGTAGCAGTAGTAGTAATAATCGTAGTGGTAGTAGTAATCGTTGTAGTAGAAGTAGTACTACAAGAACTACTACTACTACTACTACTACTACTACGACTACTACGACTACTACTACTACTACTA